TAACATATCCTAAATGTTATGTTGGTGGTGATTGTGGGCGCCCTGACTGCGAATTTGCTCGGAAGAAGGAGCCGTGGGCAAATGGCTGGATCTTCTCTCATCCCGTTTCCACAGCATCTGTGCTGTGCCAGAGTGATGAGGTGGTGGAGAAAGACCTTTCTCATTGGGTTTGTCCACCTGGCAAAGCTAAATGTGGTAAGAACTCTCGACCTGCATGATGGAAAGCATGAATATCAGCCAGAGTTGTAAAGCCTGTAAGTGAATTCCAAAAACCTGTCACGCACGTCTCCGCATGCTTCAAGGCCAAGATAGCTCATGGATAAAAGCACACTGTGATCACCAGAGCTGATCACAAACCATTTGCTATCAATAGGAGAAATGAGGATCTGCTGTCCGGGGAGAGAAGCCACATTGGTTGAGAGTGTACCTGCTCCTCTTTGTAACAGTATTTGACAAAATAAACCAGGTGTTTGAAAAGTAAGCAAAGCATGTCTTTCCTTCTCTCCAGAGCATGAAGACGGAGAGGGGGAATCTTTGGTTCTGTTAAAGAGATCACCACAGCACACAGGCTGGGTATTTTTGGAGCTATGGCCACTCTAAAGAGAATGAGCCCTGCCGTGGTAATTGTCTGCTCCCACAGTACATTTCAGGTACTGTCAGTGGGCTCCTGGCATGTTCAGGAAAGCTGGGAGCTCTGATGAAGTCTTGCTCATGACAAATGACAGAAGCCGGAAGGATTAAAATATCCTCCTCAGAATGAATTGCTCTTAATCTTTAAAAGAAGCAGATACAGGTATGCTGTGACCTCTTCCCACAGGAACAGGCAGACCCACTGCTGGATGACTCGCAGGCAAGCTGTGAGCCCACACCTGTGAAAACCTGGGGGCCCACCAACAGTCTTCGTCAGGGTGCTGCTGGCCATGAATAAAAGTCTGCATTTTCCTCCCATCGTCTCATCCAAGGCTCAGCCTTCTCCTCATCAGCCTGCTCCCCCCGCCTCCATTTGAAGGTTTAGCAGCCATACTTGCTTAGTGGAATATTTTCATTTTAAGCATAAGAAGGATGTATGTTCCAAAGCCTTGAGTCACATTAACTAAAACTCAGCTCCACTTCTGACATTTAATTAATTCTTGGTTCTTCAATTTAAAAAAAATAAAAATTCATCAAAGGATCATCTCCTTGATCATCTGAATGTACTGTAAAAACCTTTGTTTTGATCAGGTTTTCCGAGGCCGTAACAAGATACTTGTTTCAAACTTTAAATGGAGCAAACAAAACAACATTCACTGGTAACCACTGAGCTCTTGAGCTAAAGGGCTGGATAGGGGAATGAGAGAAGTATGGGAATTAGTCTACTAAGCTGGGGAAAATCTTTCACTTGGGAGCTCATTACAGCTGAGTTCACACAGTACTTCATTGTTACCTGGGTTGCCTATGCCAGAAATAACAAACGTACTCCCCTCCCCCCTCCACAAAATCATCATCCTCTCAAAAGCCAGACTCATTTGTTAATGACAGGAGGTGACCCTCCCTTTGCAGCACTGGAGCACTTGGGCTGGGTGGTGACACGGAGAACAGCCTGGAAGCCTGCAAAATGCAGCGACAGCCAGAAATCCCTGCTTGGGTAAAGATGTAAACCATGTGTTTGGGATGGCAGTTGTAATCGCCTCTGCTGTCAACTTCAAAAAAATCACTGGGTTTTGAGCCTGTCGCGTCTGTCGATGGCTGAAGCACGACACCTGCTTTAGTGAAAGGCACTGATGAGCAGAGGCGATGTGATCACACACACCTCTCACTACGGAGCTGGCAGCTGCCCTCAGATGGCCGCGTTGCAGCCTGTTGCCTTGACAGCGACCTTCTTTCCCAAAAGGCCTGGAGGATGTGTGCCCTTGCACGGGGTGCTCGGTCGCTGTCAGGAGCCCCCAGTGCGTGCTCCTCCCAAGAGCATCGCTGCTGGGGGAGCGGGAAGAGTGAGGTGTGGTGGAGCACATGGGGCCACAAACCCAGCTGTTTATTTTGGTGCTGTTTTAAATGCTGTAAGGGAGCAGTTTACTAACTTCAGGGATAAAAACTAAGTGTGCCTGTCAGTCACCCTTCAGCGACCAAGTAACATAACTGTCAGTGAAATAAACGACTCTAGCAACTTTATAGCTTAAAGCTGGTACGCTTCGTTCTCTCCTTTTTAAGGCTCATTCAGAGGGCTGAAAAACAAACATCTTCAAAATTACTATTTCTCTTCCTTTCAAGTAACTGTCCAGTAAGTTTTAATTTGAGGAATATTTTGAACAACGATGAAGCGAGAACGATCACATCTGTCCTTAGCAGCAATACTTAAAGATACCAAGTCCAATAATCAAACACAGATGCATGCTATGTGTTTGCACCAGTGACTTTGATTAAAAGAAAAAAGCATTAGTAGGGATACAGCTCACTAATTTATAAAGTAGTTTGGTAACTGTTTTCAAATGAGAAGATTACTTCTATCAAGGTATTACAATTTTTATTTTCTTGTGAACACATACTCTAACTTATGACAACTAAGCTTTGAGATTTTTGGATTTTGTCCTGTCCCTCACCCTTTCCACAGGGGTTTGTAACCCACCAGTCACTTTCAATCCACTTCCCAGGGCTGGCGCAGAAGCAGCTGTAGCCAGCACTTGGAGGAATTATGTCAGACCTTTTATTCCCCCTGCACCTTTAACCACATGCATTCTCCCTTCTACTACTGCAGACCCTCCCCTTTCACACCAACTGAGTCCCACTCACTGCTTCCTTGGTCTTATCCCCCTGCCCCCTCCAGTAAAGGCTCCTACTCTCGGTTAGCCCAATTCCACCTCAACTTTTACTAGGATAATGAAGCTCGAAGGTGTGGGCCAGACTGCCTGCATATTGCCTCTTTCCTCATTTTCCTGTTAGTACCTGGCATACTCGTTTTACATTTTGCACAGCGAGGCAGAAGTATGAGATCAGTTACCTACACAATGCAGATACAGCTACAATTTCATAATTACTGGCCAGAATTGCTACTAGTGTAGTTAAGCTGCTACTCAGCTAATATCCTGAAATGCAGTAGCTTAAACCAACACCAATTAACACCAGAGAGGATCTAATGCCGCGGTTTTCCCCAGATTTTTTAATTTGCACAGGCTCACGATGCTTCTTTTTTCTCTACCCAGTCGCAGTACTCGTGCATTTTGACAGATGCCATTATGTGCATGCTAACTTCTTTCCCACCAGTACCAAACAGCGTTCTCTTCTTTCTCTACAACTGCTTTGCCAAAGAGTAAGTTTTCCCCAGCATGTTTTTGTTTCCTAACTCCCCAGCTGAACTATGACCTCGCAGCCAAAAGTCCTCCTGCTTAGGTTGCAGTTCCTTTCTTAGGTCAGATAGATACGAAAGAACTCAACCATGTATTAAAATAGGAGCCTGCTAAGTCCCTGCTCGGGGCTCGCCCAGTTTCCCACTGCTGCTCCAAGGGCTTTAGCAGTCAACACCTCCTACCCCATCCAAAGGGAAGGACCCTTCCTCCCCCTTAGCACAGAACCAGGGGAAACATTTTTCTGAATTACAGCTAGCTACCAGTTACATTCCGAGTTTGAATTTTGCATGGAGGACAGAAAGTGCTTCACTGCACTAACTCAAGTTTTCTACAGACTTTTTATAAAAAATTATTGACCTGAACGTCCTCCCCAAAATTTATTGTTTCCTCCAGAAGAAACAGAAGGAATAGAGTGGGGGGAAGGAAATAAGAGTATACAGGTTTGTTTTCTTCTTGTAAGCAGCTAATCCACAGAGGGTAAAAGTTTAATTACCTTAGTGTAAACAGCATGTTTGTTTAGTGCTTTCATGTGTATTTCCAAATTAAATAAGTAGAGCAATGCTGCTGTTTACATCTGGATTCCAAAACCTCCTCACACCTACCTGAGTTAACAACAGATGGCAAACTCTCTCAGACACAGCACAGGGTGGGGGGAAAGGAAAGGACTATTTTTGCTCAGTGAATGCCTTTCGACCAGAAAGTGCTTACAGCATAATATACTATAAATCATTTTGTGAAAAAAGTAAATACATTGTGTCACTCGTGTAGACAAAAGCAAGCGAGGAATATTATGCCACCACTCACCTTTTTACCAATATGCAATTAGATCTAACACTGTATTCCCAAATAAGATGGTTTCCTTGAAATTATAGAGGGATATTTCTTTTAACTGAAAATGTACAGTGAAATATACAAGTAGAACATGCCTTTAAAAAAAACAAAACAAAACACTTCTGACCATTGCTACCTACAAATAATGTAAATTATTATTCCATCAGTTATAAGGAAATGTCTTAAATGGAAGAGCAAGAGTTTTAATCAAGTAAAAAAATGAGTTACCTTACATAGACTGCCTCTGAAATGTGATTTTATTCTGTTTCACACAGACAGAACAAGAATGGAAATCCTTCATTTTCACAGTGTATATAAATTATTACAATTTATTCTGCAGCTGAAATGTCACAAAAGCTGCTCATGACACTCACCTTGCACAAGTAAAGCCTTCACCGACTGTTTAAATACTCCTGTTTTACAAACAGCACAACTAACAGTAGCACTGAAGGATACATTTACTCAGAAAACAGCTGATGAAAGTATTTTCCTGCATTTAAAGGAGATAAAATTACAACTTTGCTAAAACAAACTATTCTGTTTATAAGGGACGTTAAAACAGCCCCAAAACACCGTCATTAATCCTCTGCAATAGAACACACACCAGTTCCCAGGTGTTTAACAGGAGGTCATTCCCAACTGCATACATACTCACATACATACAGGGAACAAAGAAAGGCTTGTATCCTGACTTAACAAATTCATTCTAGTAATTTCTTGCTCGGATTTGCCAGGAAAAGCAGCATGATTTATGGGTTTGAGACACCTCACACGTGTACAGGGAAGACTGCCATCTTTGGACCACCTTCTCGCAAAGCTGTATTAGACCGCAGGGTCCTCTACAGCAGACTATGAATCGCTTCTTTCGCTGCCAGTTTGTTTTCTTTCTGGATCAAGAGAACTGCCTTCAAATAAAATTTTGTTCCTCATTGCTTCTTTAAGCATTCTTTGCCGGATCCTGTGTTGGGCCAAGTTGTACCTGCAGTAAAACCTAGAGGAGGGGATGAAAAAAACCCCCATGAGTCCTTGCTTTCTATGACTGACAGTATCAAATCAGAGTTATTCAGCCAGCTGAAAAGTTGATACCACATATAATAATGCTAGTAAAATTCATTATGAGATGATGCATAATTAAAATGCTAGGGTAACTGCTGTTTCTTTAAGGCAAACATTATGCAGCCACTGAGGAGCAGCATATACAAGTCCAATGGAAAATGCTAATTTCTCTAATTTGGATCTTAATTTCATGACCATTTAGTATGCTGCCTTTATAATTAGGACAGAAGGATGGCATACGTGAGGGAAAAAAGAAAGAATTAAGAAAGACAGAAATAACTGGGTGGTTTGATCTCTTAGGATTCAAGAAACAATACTAGGTTTAAAAAAAAAATATATTAACACATTCAAAGGCACTGAACTCTTTTCATTTAAAAAGATAACTATTCCGGGGAGAAGGAAGAGGACACTTTGCTAGGCAAGTTTTTTTATGGAGTTTCAGCGTGAAAGGTCACACAGGGATCGTGTTGTACAAAGCAGCCAACACAGGTCTGTCAAAATTCAAGAAGCGTTTTACATACCAGTAACCTAACATTGTGCAAATAAAGCCACCAACTGCAAAGTCACAAGATCTTCTAACTCTACCTGAAAGAAAAAGAAAAATCCTCCAAAAAATTAAGAGGAAAAACCTTGGATGACTTCCCATTATTAATAAAATCTATCAGCAAATAGGAATTATTTTTTCTTTGCAAATTAATATATAAAAACCAGGAGTAAGTACTTACTAGTTGCTAAAAAATGTCCAAGACCCACAACTAAAGATCCCACGGAGCCATAGAGCACTGATTCTCGTGCACATGGGACACTTTTAACATCAAGAAATCCTAGGAGTTTAAAGGACTGTAAGAAAAAAAAAAAAAAAAACACTATAAATTTACAATATTACTTTTTTAGAAGTCTATGATGCCAACTCCATTGTAAAACAGAGTTATCATAGCAGTAAAAACCAGTGACTTGAGGATTTCCTACTTCCAGGGGTGTATTTGAGCAAAAGTAAACAGGTACAGCTGTATCAGGAATGGTTTTCAGAAGAGCTATTGATTTAGGCAACATTATTTTGTTCAAACCTGCTGATCTATCCATTCTATTGAGTATTATAAAAGAACTATTTCATTTTTTCCTTTACATTCCCCAAAAAAGGAAGGGAGAAAACCCTCAAAAATCCTGGGTCTTCGTTCAACATATATCACAACAAACAGGTACGGTTACAATCGATTATGCAGTTAGTTATGCCACATAATTTTAATATCTGAAAAGGCAAATGTGCTTAAAAAAAAAAAAGTGAAATTACTGGAGAATGCAAATGTAGTAGAGAACCTTACACTGAATAAAAATATTTATAAACTGGTAATTTTAACCTAATCCTATGTACAGTCAGGGGCCCTGCATAGAAAATCTTCTACACACAAGTTTTTAAATGAAGCTACTGGTAAAAATTATTCCAACTATTTCATACGCTGTCTCACATCTATAACCTACGCTAGTTTATCTGTTTTCTACTTAATTTTCAAATGGTAATTACATGTGGCATTCATAAACCCAACTGTGAACAGACAAGTATGTTTTTCATTTCAGAGATGCCTTCGCTGGCTTCTGCACAATCCCGGTCATCTAACTTGAATACAACTCCTAATCCCCACCTGAGAAACATCCTTGCAAACACACCTTGGTGCCACAAGCAGGAGTGGGAAACTACACACTCAAGGTGACATGGGTCAGGGTGAAGGTGGCATCTACAACCTTTCTGCTATTCATTCTTAGGGATGGTGTGAGAATTCATCATCCTTCTATGTGTTTAAATCCCTAGACCATTAAATACCATGTGTGCAAGTGTATCAACTAAAATCTTGAAAGATTATTTTTAAATTATTTTGTTTTTTGTAAAGCTATTCTACTTGGACAAAGTAGATTTTGAAGATGGAGTAGGACAATCAACTATTTGTGGAGGGCTGACGACTCTTGAGACAAGTCACTGTGAACCACGTGTGACTGCGGTAACAGGGATGGCAAGCATCTGACAACAGCTGGAATTGAGTGCAAGTATGGAAATCCCCCTCAGTAATTTTATCCATGTTCCCTATGGACAATCATCAGCTGCTTTCACATAATCCCTGTGAACAAATGAGGCAAAAAGGGTTCGGTCTATGTTGGTCTAATCTCCCAATGAGTAATTTCAAGTACTCTCACATGGAAGAAGTCACTTGATACACTGCTGTTGTTGGTTGAAGGTATCCCGGCTACATCCACGCAGCGTGATGCATCCTTTTAAAATAGTGTTTCACCTGTTGCTATATTTGAAATCACTTGTTATGACTCCGGCCATCGCTAACTCCTGACGTTACACAGGCTCATGCCAGTGTTCCCCTCACACAGAGAAAGCCCCGCAGAGGGGGGGTCCGTGGAAAAACACAGATGAAAAGCCCACCCCACCCCACCCACCTGGCCCTACAGAGCCTCACTTCTGCCAGCGGTTTCCGTCCATTGTTCCCTCATTATCTCCTCTGGAGCAACACTGCGGGGGTCCGCAGCTGCTCTGCGGGCCCC